TACATTCGGAGGAGCCGATTATCATTTCATCCGGCACACCAACACAACACAACAGCACGGGACAGCACTCAGGCGCAGCCAGTGACGGCGCAGCCCAACCGATGCCCGGCATGGGAGGGAACAGGAGCACGCTAAGCCCACGGGAGCCCCGAGAAGCCCATCGGCACGTGGAGTTTGCGACGACAAGTGGTGAAAACGCCATGATGGCCCCAATGCCACTCAAGCCGCAACGCCCGCCCTGCTTCGACCCAAGCCAACGCGGCGGCCCGACAGTTCAATCGTGGGTCTTCACCATGAATGTGTTCTTCGACGCCAACTACGTCGAGTCGGACGCCGCCAAGATTCGGTATGCGGTTTCACTACTCAGGGGCCCCGCCATGGACTGGTGGCGAGTCATCGTGACGTCGCCACGCGCCTACGAGCCACCGTCGCACGAGGAAGGGCCCTCGGGTCCAGCTGTCACCTGGATTTCGTTCTGCGAAACAGCCCAATACAGCACGTGGGATGCGTGGTGCGCAGGGCTTCGGGCGCGTTTTGAGCCGATCGCGGCTTCGATTTCGGCGCGTCAGAAACTGCGCACTTGGCGCCAGCTCGGGTCGGTTCAAGACTACACCAGCGGTTTTCTCGCACTTTGCGAACAGGTCGGCTACATGCACGAGGCGGAGCGTGTGGACCGTTACGTCGGAGGGCTGAAGCCGGACATATCGCACGAGATAATGCTACGCGAGCTATCGAATTTCAACGAAATCCTCGCGCTCGCCGAGAAAATCGATATCCTACGCCGACCGAGACCGGGGTCCTATTTTGGACATCGCCCTCGGGGACCGATCGAGCACGCCACTGTACATGCCGTCGCAACGAATGCAGCTGCCACGCCATTTAGAGGGCGCTGCTTTGCTTGCAACCGGCCGGGCCATCGCAAGAGCGAATGTCCAGAGGAGCTGAGGCGTCGAGGAGCAGAGCAGGGGAAGGAGTCTCAGAGGCAGGGAAACGCCAGCAGTCAGTAGAAGTTGGGCCAACTACTGACGAGACTGCCTGCTCGCCCAACCACACCGACCCTCACCGAGTCACAATACCGATTCACGCCATCGATCGGGCTCGGATGAATAAGGAGGGTACAGCGACGGATTGCCTGGTACTGATCTACGGGAAAATACAGGGAGCAGCAGTGAAAATCTTCATTGACGGAGGAGCAAGTCACAGCTTAGTTAATACTGCAACCGCACGGAAATTACAGTTAACACTTAACCGATGTTTACCTGAGATAGATGCACGCTTAGTCGACGGCACGCCTTTGGCCATACGAGAAAAAGTGGAGCGAGTAAAAGTCCGCTGCAGGGAAAACTTCGGGTTTACACAGGAAATGCTCGCAACGACGCTGGATGGGCACGACATTTTACTGGGACGTGATTGGCTGCGACGGTACAACCCACGGATCGACTGGACGACGGGGAGCTGCACAGTGCGAAGTAGCGGTAACTGGGTCGTCCTACCTCGCTGGCGGCCACCCGAATCTTCGACAGTCCAGGTCAACGCCATCGCGATGAAACGGGCTGTCGCTGCTGGAGCTGACGTGTACGCAGTGGATATCGCAGTGGTAGAAAAAGACGAGCAGCAGAACGATTTACATAAACTACTAGCAGCCGTACCGACCGAATTACAAGCACTACTGAAACGGTTCCCGGGGATATTTCCGGATGATTTACCACAGGGACTGCCACCTCAGCGAGCGCACGACCATAGGATCGAGCTAGAACCGGGGGCACAGCCAACAGTACAGCGGCAATTTCGACTGACACAGCCCGAGCTCGACGAGTTAAGGAAGCAGTTAGATTACCTGTTAGAGAAGCAGTTTATTCGACCGAGCTCGTCACCGTTCGCCGCACCCATACTGTTCACACCGAAAAAAGACGGAGGTTTTCGCATGTGCATCGACTACCGAGCGCTTAACCGAGTAACAGTCAAATCGCGATACCCCATCCCCCGCGCCGACGAACTGATTGACCAACTGCGAACAGCACGTGTCTTTTCGAAAATAGATTTACGAGGAGGTTACCATCAGATTCGCGTCGAACCATCGGACTGCGCAAAAACAGCATTTAGGACTCGGTACGGGTCATTCGAGTATACAGTAATGCCCTTCGGGTTGACGAACGCGCCTGCGACTTTTCAGATGACCATGAACGAGGCATTTAGGCCACTTTTAGATAAATGCGTCATCGTTTACCTAGACGATATCCTCGTTTACAGTCGGGATAAGCAGCAACACTTAGCAGATCTTGAAGCAGTTTTTAAGGTTTTAGAGGAACATCGGCTGCTCACCAAGGGCTCCAAGTGCGATTTTTTTAGGGATAGGCTAGAGTTTTTAGGTCACGTCATTTCAGAGGCTGGGGTTGAGATTGACCCAAAGAAGCTGGACACGGTAAAAGCGTGGCGCCCCCCGACGAACATCACGGAACCGCAGAGTTTTTTAGGGTTTGTTAATTACGTTCGACGGTTCGTGCCCGACATGGCACGTTTAACCGCCCCACTAACTGATTTACTGCGTAAGGGGGTCGCTTTTACGTGGGGGGAGAAAGAGCATGCTGCCTTCTCTGCCCTAAAAAACGTTCTCTGCTCACCACCCGTCCTACGCATCGCTGATCCCCACCGCCCTTTCGAAGTGGTTACCGACGCAAGTGACATCGCCATCGGAGCTGTACTGTTACAGGACTTCGGCAACGGCCTCCAACCCATCGCCTACGAATCACGAAAACTACATCCGCCTGAGCGAAATTATCCGATACACGACCGCGAAATGCTCGCGATCGTGCATGCATTCAAAGTTTGGCGCTGCTACTTGACTGGCGCAGACGTGACAGTACGGACAGACCACCGATCTCTACAGTACCTCCGCGCACAGCCCCACCTCAACCCACGACAGATTCGATGGCTCGATTTCCTCGAGTCGAATTTTCACTATACGGTCACATACAAAAAAGGAGCATCGAATATCGCCGACGCACTGACCCGCCCCACTGCCCAGATCCACGCGATACTACTCGCCCAGACCAGCCCACTGCTTACCGGCCTATTTACCCACGGATATCAAACAGACCCGTTCTTTACAGGAGGCAACTCACAGCAATTCGCAGCGGCAAAAGGAGTCTATTACGTAAAAACTGGAACCGACCGCATCTGGGTACCGGGATACACGTTACTTCGGGAACTACTGTTACAGGAAGCACACGACGGAGTTACCTCGGGACATTTCGGGGTAGAAAAAACACGGCAGCAGCTGCAGCGGTACTACTACTGGCCAGAAATGTTGACTGACGTGCAACGACACGTGGCATCGTGTCCCACTTGCCAGCTCATGAAGACAAGCAGGAAGCGACCAGCAGGGCAATTACAACCCATCCCGCCTCCAGAGCGTGCTTGGCAGCAGGTGACGATGGACTTCGTCACGGGGTTACCAGCTGGGGCGAGTGGGAATGACGCGATCCTGGTCGTCGTCGATCGACTAACGAAAATGGCTCATTTCGCAGCATGCACGAAATCCATCACAGCCGAGGAAACCGCCCGACTATTCATCTCCACCGTCGTACGCCTGCACGGGATACCCGCGTCGATCATCAGCGACAGGGACACGAAATTCACCAGCAACTTCTGGCGGAACCTGTGGCAGCAGTTCGGCACGCGCCTACAGTTCAGTTCATCCTATCACCCCGAAACCGACGGACAGACGGAACAGACAAATCAGACCATGGAGCAGCTGATTCGAGCCACGTGCGACGACCCGAATACGTGGGAACAGCAACTGCCACTCATTGAGTTCGCATACAATAACGCACCATCAGCCACGACGCAACAGTCGCCGTTTTATCTAAATTACGGACAGGACCCAACAGTACCCATGACACCGAATCCCGACAACCCCGTCCCACGAGCACAACAGTTCGCCGAGATCCTGCAAGCAGCACGGACCAGGGCAGCAGAAGCAATAAAAAAATCAAACATCATCGCTAAACGCAACGCCGATCGACATCGCAGACCCGTTACTTATCAGCCCGACGACCTCGTTTTACTCGACACTCAGAACCTTCGCCTGCCCATCACTCCAAAACTTCGCCCCCGATATTGTGGGCCATTTCGCATCAGCCACATGATCACACCCGTCACCGCCCACCTCCTCCTCCCCGCTGACTGGTACGTCAGCCCGTCATTTCACGTCAGCCTACTTCGCCCTTACATCCCATCCACGAGCCAACTGCCACGAAATCGCCCAGCCAGCATGACACGTCCCCCAACCGAACCACTCATCACCCCTGAAAAAATCCTCAGCCACCGCGTCCGCGACCCTCGGGGAGCACGAAGGATCGAGTTCCTAATTCGCTGGAAGGACCGAACGCCAACAGAAGACAACTGGGTCCCCCTGGATAAAATTGAGAACCACCCTGTCTTCACCGAGTATCTGCGAAGCCGAAATTTCCGCGACGTCCATGCGCTCTCGTAAGAGGGGCCTCCTTGGGTAGGGGGGTAGTGTAAGGAAATTCCCTTTTCCTTACTTCGCGTCCCTGCCCAGCGCGTACGTCACTGTAGCACCTCAGTCAGCACCGTTACCACTCGCGACCATCGCATCATTCATCATCCCGCCTTTTTCGCACATCGCATCCCGACCTCACGGCTCGGCTGGTAACCCGCGCTTCGGGCCTACGCTTCGACACTTTCCCAACCTCAGTCCCAGGCTCGACGCGCGACAACCACAGTCCATTACCGTTACCACTATTGTTTCGCTATATAATCCTTCGCTCATGCCTTCGCTCATTGTACTTTTGCTTCGATAGTGCAATTCTCGTTCCTTCACTCAATTGCACACGTAACAGCACTCCAGCTCTACCTCCTTACACGTAGTAGAAGCATTACCACTCCATTAGTAACCTAGCTCCTATCCAAAGGCGTCAAAAGGACAAAGAATGTCACGTAACAGGGGTGAGCAGCAGTAGCGCTCCCCTTTGCCTATGCTTATGATTAGGTAATAGCCGTCATCTTCCCACCACCCGACCTCCGCTTCCCCGCCACCCCATCTCCCCTGCTCGCCGACCGATCTCCCGTGCAACCCGCCCGAGTTCCCGTTCCCGCGGCCCGATCTCCCATTTCTGCCGCCCAATATCCCCTTCTCGCCTCCTCTCGCCTCCTCTCGCCTCCCCGCGCGTGCTCCTCTCGCCTCTCAGCGCGTGCTCCTCTTCCCTCCCAGCGCGTGCTCCTCTCCCCTCCGCGTGCGTGCTCCTCTCCCCTCCGCGTGCGTGCTCCTCTCCCCTCCGCGTGCGTGCTCCTCTCCCCTCCGCGTGCGTGCTCCTCTCCCCTCCGCGTGCGTGCTCCTCTCGCCTCCCCACGCGTGCTCCTCTCCCCTCCGCGTGCGTGCTCCTCTCCCCTCCGCGTGCGTGCTCCTCTCCCCTCCGCGTGCGTGCTCCTCTCCCCTCCGCGTGCGTGCTCCTCTCCCCTCCGCGTGCGTGCTCCTCTCGCCTCCCCACGCGTGCTCCTCTCCCCTCCCCGTGCGTGCTCCTCTCGTCTATCCGCGCGTGCTCCTCTCCCCTCCCCGTGCGTGCTCCTCTCGTCTCTCCGCGCGTGCTCCTCTCCCCTCCCCGCGCGTGCTCCTCTCGCCTCTCAGCGCGTGCTCCTCTTCCCTCCCAGCGCGTGCTCCTCTCCCCTCCGCGTGCGTGCTCCTCTCCCCTCCGCGTGCGTGCTCCTCTCCCCTCCGCGTGCGTGCTCCTCTCCCCTCCGCGTGCGTGCTCCTCTCCCCTCCGCGTGCGTGCTCCTCTCGCCTCCCCACGCGTGCTCCTCTCCCCTCCCCGTGCGTGCTCCTCTCGTCTATCCGCGCGTGCTCCTCTCCCCTCCCCGTGCGTGCTCCTCTCGTCTCTCCGCGCGTGCTCCTCTCCCCTCCCCGCGCGTGCTCCTCTCGCCTCTCAGCGCGTGCTCCTCTTCCCTCCCAGCGCGTGCTCCTCTCCCCTCCGCGTGCGTGCTCCTCTCCCCTCCGCGTGCGTGCTCCTCTCCCCTCCGCGTGCGTGCTCCTCTCCCCTCCGCGTGCGTGCTCCTCTCCCCTCCGCGTGCGTGCTCCTCTCGCCTCCCCACGCGTGCTCCTCTCCCCTCCCCGTGCGTGCTCCTCTCGTCTATCCGCGCGTGCTCCTCTCCCCTCCCCGTGCGTGCTCCTCTCGTCTCTCCGCGCGTGCTCCTCTCCCCTCCCCGCGCGTGCTCCTCTCGCCTCTCAGCGCGTGCTCCTCTTCCCTCCCAGCGCGTGCTCCTCTCCCCTCCGCGTGCGTGCTCCTCTCCCCTCCGCGTGCGTGCTCCTCTCCCCTCCGCGTGCGTGCTCCTCTCGTCTCTCCGCGCGTGCTCCTCTCCCCTCCCCGTGTGTGCTCCTCTCGCCTCCTCGCGCGGCATCCCCCCTGCACGCCCTCATTTCCCCCCCTGCACGACCTCATTTCCCCCCCTGCACACCCTCATTTCCCCCCCTGCACGCCCTCATTTCCCCCCCTGCAGGCTCTCATTACCCCCCCTTTTATGCACCCGTTTCCCCTCTGCTCACTCTCTTTCACCCCTCACTCACGCGTTTTCCCCTCTGCTCACTCTCTTTCCCCCACACTCACCCTTTCTCCCCTCTGCCCACTCTGTTTCCCCCGACACTCACCTTCTTACCGAATTCTCACTTTTCATTCACCCCTTTTTCCAATCCCGCTTCCCTTTTTCCGTCTCTCCTTCATGCCTCCCACCACCTCTCCCTGCCTTCCTTGCTTCTCTCCTTATCTCCTTCATGCCTCCCACCATCTCGTTTTCCTTCTCATCTCTTGTGGGCCACATCACAAGGCCCGTCTGCCCTCTCACACTCTTCCTGCCATTCTCACTCTCGCAATCCTCACCGCCGTCCCTTCCTTTCTGTAACCAATCTCCCCTCCCCCCTTTTCCCTTCCTTCCCTCCACTTCCTCCCCTTCCCTTCCTTCTCTCCCCATCATTCCCTCGCCTTCCTCCCCTCCCCTTCATCCCCATCCCTGCCCTTTCCTCCCTGCCCTTCCCTTCTCGACCCCGCCCTTCTATGTCACTCCTCGCCTTCTGCCCTCCAGTTCATGTGCATGTGCTGCCATCACTTTTGCCCCATACATGCATCTTATTAACTCATGTTTACTCGCTTGTATTCCCTTTTCACCCTCCGTCCCTTCAAATCTACTACCCATCTCCCTGCCTTTCCATCACACCTCCCTGCCTTCTCATGGATTTGAGGCACCATTGCGACACCAGGTGTCATACAACCTGTAATGCATATGCAAAGCTACAAGCCTGTATAGGAACATGCCAGTATTAGGGACATGCCTCTGTCTATCCTTCTGACACTCTCAGTGTCCATACATCTTGGAAGAATATCTTGCACTGCAGAAAGAAAAGTACATATTGTGCCTTTGATATGGATATCTCCTACACTAATACAGTATCATGCTTGCGTACAACACACAAGAAAAACAGGTGGTGGTACGGTGTAGAGCGTGGACTAGCTTTAGCTGCGCCTCAGCTTGCTCCTCTGCTTCACCACTGCAAATACAGGGAGTGGAGTAGGCAGGAATAATTGTGTGAAGGAACATGGGGGAGGTGGTGTGAGGTGCCAAAGGAACAACTGCAAGGGAACACAAGCAAGCGCACATGATGAAAGCATGTGGGGAGACAGTGATGGGTGCACATGCATGGGAACTACGGTAGTGGGCAGGTGAGGTGTGAAGGGGAAGGGGAGGGCATGAAAAGGAAGGGAAGGGTTGAGAACGGATGGGGAAGGGAAGCGCAGGGCAGGGAGGGAAAGGCAGGGATGGGGAGGGCAGGGTGGAACAGGGCAGAGGGTGGGGGGAAGGAGGGCTGAGGGGATGGGGGGAAGCAGGAAAGGGGATGGGGGGGAGCAGGAAAGGGGATGGGGGAAAGCAGGGAAGGGGATGGGGGGGAGCAGGGAAGGGGATGGGGGGAAGCAGGGAAGGGGATGGGGGAAAGCAGGGAAGGGGATGGGGGGGAGCAGGGAAGGGGATGGGGGGAAGCAGGGAAGGGGATGGGGGGAAGCAGGGGGGGAACGGAGGAGAAGCAGGGGGGGAAATAGAGAGCAGAGGGGAAATTGATGGAAAAGAAGAGCGGGAATTGATGGGGAGCAGAAGGGGGAATGACGGGATTTATCGCAACCCGTCGTTCGCACCTAATCAGGGCGGCAGGGAGAATGAGTGGAAAGGCAAGGGGGGTGGAGGAAAGGATAAGGGTTTGGGGAGGAGAGAACGGAGATAGGGAGGATGGACGCTGGCAAGCAGGAGCGCCTTTCCTGTCTCCACTCACCTCCCCTCCCATTTCCTCCCCTCCACATCCCACCTACCCCCTCCCCTCCCCCCCCTGCTCCTTCTCCCCGCCTCCACTCCAACCCGCCTCTCCCCCGCTCTCCTCCCGTTCCTTTCTCTCCCTCTTCCGCCGCCTCTCTCCCGCCCTTCCCCTCCTCTCTCCGCTCCTCCGCTCCCTACTTGCTCCTGCTTCACTCCCTCTCCCACTCCCCCGCTCGGCCCCCATCCCCCCTGCAACCAGTCGACGGCAAGCTGGACGACCGAGTTTTGGGACATGTTTGGCGGCTTCGCGCCACTGGCTGCACTTGCGCTCGCAATCGCCCCACTTGTCCAGGCGCTGCTGCACTGTGCGCTGTTCTTGTGTTGTGCTGTATTACACGATGTGCTCTTCACCCTGCTACGCCAAGGACCTGCATTCATGCATGACCCCCTGCATGCACGCCCCCTCGTCGCGTCCCCTCCCGTCCCTCCCGTTCCGCCCCGTACCGTCGCATCCCGCCCCTTCCGCGTGCTCCTCTTCCCTCCCTTCCATTTGCGTCCGGTCTCGTCGCATCCCGCCTTCCCGTCACGTCCCCTCCCGGCCCCTCGTCGAGATTCTTACCTTCCTGTGCCGTCCCGTCCCGTCCCTCCAGTCCCTTCCCGTCCAGTCCTGTCCAGTCCCGTCGGTTCCCGTACTGTCCCGTCCTGCCCCATCGCGTCCCTTACCTGGCGCGCCTCATTACCTGGACATGGTTCACGATAAGCACGGGATGTACCCTGGTCGCCGCTGATACTGATAAATGAAGACCTAATTTCAAGTTTATAGGTCGGCCGTATATGCTGATCAACGAGAATCTAACTTTTGTGTAAGAGGTAACCGCGGTTGCTAGTGGAAAGAGTTTTACTCTTGAACCTGAGCCTAGTGCTAGTGCGAAATCGGATTTATGAGTTCTGTCAGTCTCATATTTTTGAGCTATTGTAAATGCTTGATCCGTGTGACAACCTGGTCGCCGGTGGGGGAGTTTGGGCGATCGTGTTGTCGCCGTTCAGGTGTGTTTTCCAAACCCACCTAGGTGCACGATCGCATGATTGGTTTGGCACGTCCCTGCGCATACCGCCAAGCAAGTTTGTAGGTTCCCAACCAATCGTTTCAACCTGGGCCAACCTTCTGTGGAGTTGTGCGACAGTTTGAGGGTTACCGGATACCAAGCGTTTAACACTTGGTTGGGACACAGAAATATGAGACGCGAGCTTTAATCTCGAGGTCCCAAATCCTTTCAATTCAAATCATAGCGTCGAACAAAGTGTGACGATTTCGAGCTGTACCGAGCGCCATCATGTTTAGAAAGCCTACCGACATTCGCGGGAAGCAGCGTTTGTCAGGAGCGGACGGAAAGAAGCTTCGGCGAAAAATTCAAGACAAGTATCCAGGCACCACCGACGAACAGCTGGAGGCGATCCTGCCGGCCAAGGTGCTTCTCAGTAGCTTCTGCTTCAACCTCGTATTATCCCCGCGGTTATCCACGCAGGCCCACGCATTCGCCTCCTGATAACCCGCGAGTTGAATCCTCGCCGTTCGTTGAACCCCGTCGTCCGTAATCCGCCCTGATGCTTGCGCTCTCCGGATTCCCCGCTGTCGTTAGTGGTTGAAGATTTTTATTCCGGCATTTCCAGGCCTTTCTTTCACGGAAAGCCGATTAATTTGTCTGCTGGTCCAGGCTGACGTGGCGGTGACGAGGCTGGTGAATCGCGTGCTGGTGTACGGACTCGAGAACGGTCTGCCCATGCTCTTCGATTGCGACGGCCGCGGCACGGAAATCTACCCCACTGGTAACCCCACTGATACTCGCGGGAACCCCTCCCACCCTCTCTTCTCTTTCCCTCCCTTCCCGCTCCTCTCCACTGGTCGTGCGGGTGTAATGAATTTAATAAGTTTGATGTTTTCCCCCTTTCCTCCCCTCCCATCCATCTTGAGAAGTTTTTTTACCCAACCCTGACACACCCACACCCTGCAACCTCACACCCCATCGGTTCCCAGGGTTTGTGCAGCGGAGCTGGCCCGCCCTGGTGGCATCCCTCCTGCTCAAGTGTGACGAGGTGGCGTTTGAAACGACTCAAGAGTCATCTTTCACACCAATCCTCTCACTCACCCTGCAACCCCACTTCCCATCCATCCGCAGTGTTTGCGCTCTGGCGTGTACCCGACCTGCTGCCATCGTTTCTTCTCACGGGCGAGGAGGTTTCCCGCTATCTTCTTTCAGGGGCTGACCTTATGGCGCCAGGCGTGAAGGTAGGGTGAGGGTATGGTGCACGCAGCACCTAGTGCAGTGCGAGCTCTTGTTTTGGACTGTTTTCACTAGAATCATCTTAAAATTCTCGCAAAACTACCACACGTGGTCCTTAACCTTCCATCCTCTCCCCTCAATACCACCCTCCCTCGCTTCCCTTCTCCTCTTCCCCACCCCCCCGTTTCCCCAAACCCCCGCTGTTCCCCCCTGGTCCGCACCTACAATGACCCCGGCAGGTGCCTGTCGAAGGTTTGCCAGCGTTCCAACGAGGGGAAGTGTGGTCGGTGAAGGTTCCAGGGAACTCATGCCCCATTGCTGTACGTATAACGTGCCTCTCCCCTTTCATCACAATGCCCCATCCTGTTCCGTGCTCCACCTTTCTCGTATCAAAAGTGACGCGCCTTCCAATCCGTAGTTGTGTCTACTTCCCTCTGCCTGCACTCTCTTTTTGGCAGTCGTGGCACATGCCTGCTATAGGAGTGAATTTGGTTGAGTTGAAGACGGCCGCGGCACAGTAATGGGCAATGATAGCGAATTAAATTTAGAATCTGCTGGAACAGCTTTAAGGGACATTCATCTTCACTCTGCAGAAGCTTGTGATGCGCTGTTTTCGTTCATCTTTCTATGTGCATGTGAGCATGGATTTGCACACGTGTGTGTGTGTGTGTGTGTGTGTGTGTGTGTGTGTGCGTGCGTGCGTGCGTGCGTGCGTGCGTGCGTGCGTGCGTGCGTGCGTGCGTGCGTGCGTGCGTGCGTGCGTGCGTGCGTGCGTGCGTGCGGGCGGGCGTGCGTGCGGGCGGGGGCGGGGGCGTGGGCGTGGGCGTGGGCGTGGGCGTGGGCGTGGGCGTGGGCGTGGGCGTGTGCGTGTGCGTGTGCGTGTGCGTGTGCGTGCGTGCGTGTGCGTGCGTGCGTGCGTGCGTGCGTGCGTGCGTGCGTGCGAGTGCTTGTGAATGTTTGTGTTCACGCACACCAGGTGGGCATCACAGTGTTAGGGAGGGAAGAGGTTATCCAGGCAGGCATGCGAGGAAAGCTCCTCAGAATAACCCACTCTTACCGCGACTCGTTATGGTCAGTATGGCTAAATTTTGAGGCGCTCGCTTATAAAGTCGCCTACAAGCTCCTCCAAATATCATTGTGAATCTTTATTGGTCAGTATGACAGGCAACAAGTGTTCTTATTCAGCGTCTTCCTAGCGTAGGTGGAGCGTCGCACTATGGTGACGGCCTGTTTTCTTACACATGTGCCCAAGTGATCTCAAAAGACAGCAGAACCCAACAGTTACCCGAGCTCACGCCAGCACTCTCTCATCCCCTAATGACCGGACTGTGGTGAAGACGACCGCTACAAATATCTTAGCCCCTACATTAATTGGTCTGTTGTCCCCTGCGGTCTGTGGTTTGACACCTCGAATTTTATAATCAGGGTCTATATGTGGTCAAGACCACACCTGTCTAGTCTTGGTCAACCTAACTTCACCGCCAGCCGTCTATGTTCTGGTGGTCCAACATGGGTTGACCCCATTCTCCTGTCGTACGGGCACCCTTGCACTTCCTTCCCAACTCAACACTCTGGATATTCATATATGGCCCCTCCCTCTCCTGCCCTCCCTGCCATGGTACAGGGAGTCTGCAAAAGGATCATATGTGCCCAACAAGGGCTTCCTGCCAGATATGGTTGCTTCTGACCCTGATGCACAGCCCACGCTGTTGGATGCACCACCTGCTGTTGCACCTGAAGATTTCCTTAAAGATTCACCTGAAGGTGACTCTGGTGCTGCTGCAGCTTGTGGAGGAGAGAGTGAGGGTAGGAGTGGTTGGGAGGGAGAGGCAGCACCGGTGGCTAGTGAGGGACTAGCAGCAGTGGCAGCAGCAAGAGGAGGAGAGAGAGGAGTAGGGGAAGGAGCTACAGCAGGAGCAGAAGCGACAGCAGGAGCAGAAGGAGCAGCGGAAGGAGCAGTAGCAAGAGATTTATCAGAGCACCTATCAGAGTCCCTGCAGGAACAGTGCATCCGTGGCAGTGCTGTTGCTGCTGCTGTTGCTGCTGGTGATGGTGATGCTGCGTCAGCTGCTGCTACTGCTGTTCTGGGCAGGGAGGGAGATATAAAAGCAGCTGGTGCAGGCGACGAGTGCATACGTGCAGCAGCACCGTCAGCACTGACGCCAGCACAAATGGATGAGCTGTTGGATCTGTGTCTGCTGCAGGCCCTCTCTGTCTCTGTCAAACCCTCGCACCTGCCCCTGCCAGCCAGCTCTCTCTGGTAAGCTGTTCAACGTCAATCAATCATCTCATGTGATCATTGCTTGGTACTTCAGCCTTCCTGCTCTCTTCACTACAGGTGATTGCGCATGGGACAAGAATGGCGGCTTAAATTGCGCGTAGCCACGTATTTCCCACAAATCTCCTAGCTTACCGGTGTTGGCATGGCATGACATACCCGCACGTGTTCTCATGTGTTGTCAAATACGAAGTGCATATCATGTGATTCATGTGATTCGTTGCTGTCATGGCACCATGCTATTGGTGCTGGCAGGTCCAATCACGTGCTGCCATGTCGGCCGCCCGGCACAACAGTGGACATAAAGAAGTCGTCTCACAAGAAGCTGAGCAAGTGGCTGCATGCCAAGGCGGTTGATGGGCTGGTGAGTGCGTCTCAATGATGAAGTTGTGAAAGTGAGTGACCTTGTAATTGAATGTGTTTAAATAATTGGGTGAATGAGTGCGTTTGATTGATTGGGTGCATGGGTTTGTGTGAGTTTGCGTGAATGAATGTGCTCGATTGATTGTGTGATTGAGTGTGTCTACGTTTCTTAATTGTGATTTCGTCACTTCTACTTATGCTCATTACGTCGACCCTCATCTACCTGTCCTTCGCACCTTCACAGTCAGAATGCCCTCCAATTCGCTGTACTGAACTGCACCCACCCGTGTGGAAAAACCATATCAACCTGGAAATCACCTCTACCATCAATCACCCATGGCATATACCCACCCTTCCCCTTGCAGCCGTCTATTTACCTCTCCACACCCACCAGATATGCGGCAAGGAGGACAGGCACCGTAAAGAGTTCATAATCTCGTCTATCAACCACCGCCATCAAACCCTCCTTGAATTCTGGCCATATAAGACAGCCCAAGCCCCCAGGACTGCACCCCAAGGTTTCTTTGGGATAGCTACTGGAAGCGCCACCAACAGAACCACCACGATGATAGAAGAGGTGTTCAAGCCGTCTCTCCATGTGTCTCCTGTCTTTAAGTCTGTAGGGCTTGACCCACACGCCTTCTACTCTCCCTCAGCTGTGCACAACGCGGCTCTTTCCTACATCTCCCTCCACTCCCTCTCCGAGCCCTCCGACCCATCTATAGTCGTCCTTGATGCAACGCTCTGCGACGCACTGTACAAAGGCGCGATAAAAAAGGGTGCGACATACCCAGCACAGTGTCTCAAGAGAGACATAGGCCCCATGTTACTGCAGCAAATGCAGGCACAACACAGGGTGGAGAGGGGGGGGAGGAGCGTGGAGCGGAAGGGGGAGCTGGAGCCTGTGGAGATATTTGTGAGGGGGCGACAGGGCAGCAGGAGAGTGACACGGGTGACAGGCGTGGAGGCTTATCTGGTGGAGGCTGAACCACTTGCTGCTGAGCTGCAGAAGAAGTTTGCCTCAAGCGCGTCTGTGGCTCAAGTGCCAGGTGGGTTCAACTGCAACTGGTGCCAGGGCTATACCGACCCTACGAGGTCCCGAACCTACCAGGTCTGGCTGCAGGTTCATGCATTGTCTTTCGTTTAGGAGCACCTCTGATTGCACAGGTGCCAGCCTTGTGAGTATAGCAGAGCTGCAGAGCTGCAGAAATGCTGGAAAAAACCGTTCTTGCTGCAGATGTTTCGCGTGCCGTCTTGTCTGCTGAAGTTCCCATCTTCCATTCCATCCTTTCTTGTGCAATCCTATCCCTGCTCATTTCCCACTCCCCTCCTGTTTCCCCATTTTTCTTCCGTCATCTCTTTTATTCCACGCCACCCTCTCCTTTCATTTTTTGCCTCTTCTTTCCTCTCTGCATATTGAAGCAGGTAAAAAAGGGCAGCATGAGGTGTTTATTCAAGGAGGATTCTTGGACGAGGTGTCTCGGCTGCTTGTGGATGTGCATGGCATCCCAGAATCTCATGTCATGGCAATTGATTATACAAGAAGGTGATGAAGGTAAAGCATCGTGAAAATATTGTACATACGGTAGTGTAAGCGCCTGTTTGGTGTGTTGGGAACAAACAGTCTTAAGCGCCTCTATCGTGTCGAAACTCCAAGACACAAGCGAAGCAGCGCATATCGAAGCACCAGCGAGTCAACCCTCGGAGGTTGATGTAACCGCTGGAGGTTACGCGAAAGTCAAAAGTCAGCGACCTTTGACTTGACAAATGCAGCGCGACAGCAAGGACACACAACTGACTCGACATTGAGAAGTTGCCTGAGTCGCACTGTATCGAACGGCAACAGTAAAATAGTTATAATTACGTCTCTTCATATTCTCTGTATTCATATATATAATCTTGTATCTCTTTGCTTTAATCAACTTACTTTGCCCTCACATATCAGCGCAAGGTGGTTCAAGGACTTCACTCAAAAACGCTTCCGCCACCACATTGTTTACTCAGACTTTAACTCTACCAAAGATCCTAGGGCGTTCAGCCCAACATGGTATGAGAGCAGATTAGAGTTGAAGTTACTTCTTCTCAACACTCAATACACCAAGAGATATGTCTACTAGAAAGGAGAGGATCTCCTCCAACGGCTCTCCTGGTACTACTCCACCTCCTGCCTCTGGCCTACAGACAGAGGAAGGGACAACAACGAGACCAGCAGCTGGGTCTACTGAAACTCCCGCAAACCAAGGCGTGGGCTTCGATCCAAGCATGATGGAGAAATTTTTCTCCTTCATGTCCTTCTACGAGCAGCATCAGCAAGGAGGACCTGCGCAGTCACACAACAGCAACAACGACGGAGCAACACCCATGAGTCTCGACGGCTCATCATATGCACGGGGAAACCAGCAACAACAGCCTACCTTTGCTCCGTACGAGCGCGGATCCATCAGCTTCATGCCACAACCACAGCCCTCACCTGGACAAGAAAAACAATTGGATGCACTGCAAGTTCAGTCGCAGTTCGCACATGTTCTGAAGATGCAGACGTCAAGACCTTTCGACGGAAAGGATTTCTTCACCTGGTCGTTCGAGTTCGAACTGATGATGGTAGGCGCGCAGATACTTCGACTCTTCGACGGGACCCTGCCATATCCAACAAACGGCACACAGTACGAGAAGCAGCAGTACACGTATCAGTCAATGATGGCGTACACGATCCTACTAAGAAACATCACCCCGACTCAATAGCAGAACATAAGGACCTACCGAGGTTACGGTAACTCCGCGGAGCTCGCGTACAACCACCCGAAGAGCTTGTAACAAGCAACAAACAGTGTAAATCAAAGTCGGTTAATGGCGCAACTGTCAAACATTATATATATATGTTGTGTTAGTTTAGGCTACAGTGGGTTAGCCTATAGGGGGTACACAATTCTAGGGTTAGGTACTTGTACTGTTTTCACTGCTAGTTCATTCATTCCTGTTCAGTTATTCCAACATGGTATAGAGCAGGTCCTTCCTAGGACCGAAATTTTCTAAGGGCCCACCACTACGTAACTAACTACCTACCTGTGCCCTAGGGCGCCTCGGCGTGTCCCGCCCCTAGAGGCCCCTCTTGACGGCCCCACGCTAGCCCCGTTCAGGCCCCGTCGGCCCCACGCCCGCTCTCCCTAGCGGCCCCGTTCAGGCCCCGTCGGCCCCTTTAAGGCCCCGTTCAGGCCCCGAGCTAGCCCCGTTTAGGCCCCGTCGGCCCCGTTTCAGGCCCCGTCGGCCCCGCGCTAGCCCCTCTCAGGCCCCGTCGGCCCGCGCTAGCCCCGTCTCAGGCCCCGTCGGCCCGCGCTAGCCCCGTTTTCAGGCCCCGTCGGCCCCGTTTCAGGCCCCGTCGGCCCGCGCTAGCCCCGTTTCAGGCCCCGTCGGCCCCGTTTCAGGCCCCGTCGGCCCGCGCTAGCCCCGTTTCAGGCCCCGTCGGCCCCGAGCTAGCCCCATTCAAGCCCCGATCGGCCCCACGCTAGCCCCGTTCAGGCCCCGTCGGCCCCGCGCTAGCCCCTCTCAGGCCCCGTCGGCCCGCGCTAGCCCCGTTTCAGGCCCCGTCGGCCCCGCTTCAGGCCCCGTCGGCCCCGCTGCTAGCCCCGTCACGGCCCCGTTTGGCCCCGCGCTAGCCCAGTTCAGGCCCCGTCGGCCCGCGCTAGCCCCGTTTCAGGCCCCGTCGGCCCCGTTTCAGGCCCCGTCGGCCCCGCTGCTAGCCCCGTCACGGCCCCGTTTGGCCCCGCGCTAGCCCCGTTCAGGCCCTGTCGGCCCCGTCTTAGGCCCCGTCGGCCCCGCGCCAGCCCCGCTCAGGCCCCGATCGGCCCCGCGCTCGCCCCTCTAGGGCCCCAACCGGCCCCACGCCGACCTCGCCGACCCGTGCCCACCACCTGGAGGCCCCGGGCGACCCGTTCCCGCCGTGACCCGAGCTGCGCGACCCGAGCCGCGCGCCCCGAGCCGAGCCGCGCGCCCCGAGCCGAGCCGCGCGCCGTGAGCCGAGTCGCGCCACCCAGCCGAGCCGCGCCCCGACCTGCCCTACCTGGTTCGTCCTACCTGCCTCTCCTACTGCTACTGCTGCTATTTCTATTGTTCCTATGGCTAGCCCACAGGTTCTCGTGTTCGATGCTGAGGGCTGCCCTGTGAAGTTTGACACCTGGCTCGATGACCTGCACCTCTACCTACAGCTCACAGCCAAGGATGACATCTCACTGTACGATCACGCCCTAGGCCATGTCACTGCCCCTGCTGCTACTGCTGACAGCACTGCTCGCTCACAGTGGCAGACTCGTGATGCCCACGCTCGCTTCGCTATTCGCAACTCCCTGCCAATAGACGAACGCGAGCACTTTGGGCAGCACAAGACTGCACAGGCACTGTACACAGCCGTAGTTGCTCGCTACTCCTCACCTGCCTCTGCCGCGCTAGGCCGTCTCTCCCTCCCCTACCTGTTTCCCGACCTGTCCTCCTTTCACACAGTCGCTGACCTCATCACGCACCTCCGTTCTAGTGAGGCCCGCTTCCGTGCCGCCATGCCTGCTGAGTTCCTTGCCACGCACCCCCCTCCACTCTGGCTCACTCTCTACCACCTAGTCACCCGCCTCCGTGACACACTGCGTGCTGTCAGGGACCACTTCCTAGCTCGTTGCCCCACTGAGCTCACCATTGCCCTGCTCGAGAAGGAGCTACTTGCAGCTGAGACTAGCATAGTCGCTGTAGATGCCTCTCGTGGCGACCCCCGTACCCCGTTCTTTGAGGGGTGTTCTCCTTCCCCCCTTCTTCCCTCTGTCGCCTCTGCTGCTGTTGTCGACCTTCTCGGTGCTGAGAAGGTCGGCGCTGCGTCTGCCTCGAGCGGGCGCCGTAGCGGCAAGGGCAAAGGGGGCAAGGGTGGTGGCGGTGACGGCGGGGGAGGCGGCGGTGGGGGCAGTGGAGGCAGTGGGGGTGGTGGCTCGGCTGGAGGGGCGAGTGGTAGCGGTGGGGGTGGTGGCGGCAGCGGCGGGGGCGGTGGCAGGAGTGGAGGCGGCGGTTGGGGTGGCGGTGGACGAGGCGACGGCAGGGGTTGGGATGGTCGAGGAGGTGGCAGCGGTGGTGGTGGTCGTGGAGGCACTGGCGGTGGCCAGGGCCAGCAGCACACTCCTTCGCTCCAGGAGGTCCGTGAGTGGTACTCTCAGCACGGGGGTGGGGGTGGTCTTGGCTGCACGTACGTCATTCGCACTGGTGACCGCACTGGTCAGCAGTGTGGACGACCGCACGCCACACAGCGCTGCTTCTCTCGTCTCGACGACGCTTGGCGTGTTCAGTTCCCTCAGGTCACTGAGCTGCCCCGCTGGCTTGATCTCCTGAAGAAGGGGATTGATATCTATGCTCTAGACTTTGATGCTATTCTATCTGCCATGTATGTGATGTCTACTAGTGGAGAGGGTGCTGAGTACTTGTGTGTGCCGCCCGACCCGGGCATTAGGGCCAATGCGTCTGCCGCTTCAGGTACTCGCGTGTCGGCTACCCCAGGTGCTGGTGAGACTGCTGCTTTAGGTGCTCGTGTGTCTCCCCCCCTTGGTACTGCGTCGACTACCGCACTGCACACCTTCACACTGGACTCAGGTGCTTCTTGCTGCTTCTTTCGTAACCGCACTGCCCTTGAGCCGCTTGCTCGGCCAGTTGCTGTCTCCCTTGCTGACCCCACTGGGGGTCCGGTCATTGCAACCTCTTCCACTGTCCTTCCCTGCCCTGCGGTCCCGTCGGGCACACTGTCAGGTCTCCACCTCCCCTCGTTCTCTATGAACTTGGTGGCAGGATGTGCGCTCCAGGACGGGGGTGTTCACCAGTTCACCCCTGCCTACGAGCGCGTGACACACTGCACGTGTGCTCGTACGAGCCGTCACCTGGCTACCTTCACTGAGCAGCCGGGGTCGGACCTGTACACACTGACTAATGAGTCCCCTCAGGTTGCTGCGTCTGCGTCCGCGTCAGGTCAGCTGTCTGCCCCCTGCTCGTGTCGCTCTTTAGCACACAAGACTGTCCTCTAGCACCACCGCCTTGGCCACCCATCTGTGCAGCGACTTCGTGCCATGCACTCCCGGTACCTTGTCTCTGGCCTGCCCAGGGTCCTTCCTGCCCTCCCTCCCTCGCCTG